CTTCTTGTCGGCTCCACTGACCACGGTGTCCTTGGCCGGCCCGGAGGTGAGGGTTCGGTTTTCTCTGTGTGGAGCTGTCATCCACGCAGAAGGCTGCCGCTTGGATCTTTGTCCCCAAGTGCCGCGGGTCCTGTTTGCCTCCAGCCGGCAAGGTTGTGTCACCTGCATCGTGCAGGTGGTGCAGGAGTCCCCCCTCCCTCCCATCCCGCCGCCGCTGCCGCCTTCTTCTCTGTGCAGAACAGTTTCTCAGACTCTCTGTTCAGCGCACAGACTGAAATCCGGGTGGTGAGAGGATCCGGCCCTGACATACCCTTTCCCTGATTTTAAACCAGGCGGGAGCTCCAGGTTCCGTTCAACCCCCTGCCTCTGGGTCTATGTAATGGCTCCACCTGACCACGTCAACGTGTTCTGGAGTTTCTGTCTTTTGCGAGGTGCCCCATAGTCTGGCATGGCCCAAGCGGCTGCAGGCCTTTGTATGGTCCTTAAGACCCGGGCAAACATCTTCCTGGTGTTCTCTGCTTTCAGCCAAGGTCCGTGTGACGCCGGCAATGAGATCCCTCGTTTCACGCCCTCAATCCAGAGTGAATTTCTGGCAGCTCCCCGGACGATGTACTGCCACATCTGCTCTGGGTGGCCTCCAGCCACGTTTTTCTGGCATAGGAGACAAATGCTCTCACACGGGAAAGAGGAGAGCACCCCGACATAGAAGCCATGTTGTAGATGAGACCCTCATCCCGCCCATCACTCATCACCCCTGGCCTCCTACTGTCACACACACACCCTCCTCAACTTGAGGCTCCTGTCAGTTCAAGCACAGTATTGACTGTGCTCTCCCCTGGCCTGTCTCAGTCCACAGAAAAGGCGAAGGGGAGAAGAATACATGTGTGGGCTACAAAAGATGGACAGACTTGTTAATGGTGTCTAGTGTACAGGTTTCTGGGTCTTAGAATCTCAGCCAGGACTTTGAAACACCCAACTGCCTCCAGCAGACCCTCCTTCCCAAAACAAAACATTTCCCGCTCCAGAGCTCCTGGTCCCACCTCTTCCTCCCGGTGACCTCTTGCCCACCCGGCACTGGCCTGCCCACCCACCTTGTCCACCAGCCCTGAGAGCCTGAGGATGGGAGGGTGGGGTGGGGGGCAGGACTTGGACGCGGCTCCGTCCCCGTGGGGCACTTTGACCAGACAGCCCAGCTCTCTAAGCCCCGCCGTCTCCCATTCCAAGACGGGGTCTTCAAGGACCAGGGGAGGACCCTGGCCGGTGAGGAGGGCCCTACCTCTCTAACCAAGAGGTGGGAGGGTCAAGTCCGCCCTGGGGGGACCTCAGAAGGAAGGCTTGGTGATGTTTCTGGAAAGAACAGAACGCAGTGGCACTCGGTCACACACGGGCGAGTGCGTGCCCGTGGAGGGCCACAGGTGGCCGTTTCCAAGCCTGCCCCACAGTGGGATGTCGGTGGGACAGCACCTTGGGAGAGTCACCCTTCTTCCTCGTGAGGCCACTCCTTTGATTCCTGGTCCGAAGGACAGGCCAGGGGAAAACCACACTGAAAGCACATGCACTGCCATGGAGTCCCCTCCGACTTAGAGTGGTCTTATAGCCTTTGGGGTAGCACTGCCCTTGCGTCTCCAAGACTGTAACTCTCCAGGGGAGCGGAAACCCCCCCTGCTCCCCCCCTGCCTGTTTCTGGCAGAGAGGCAGGTGGTTTTGAACTGCTCACCTTGGGTTAGCAGCCCAACAGGTTACCACCGGGGCTCCTGGATTAGGGGAAGAGCCCCTCGGGTGTGTCCAGAACACACGGGAGGATGGGTCTGCACAGAGGCCCACAGCCCCTGCTGCTGGGCTGGGCAGGGCAGCCGCTCCAGTTCCTGGACTTGGGGGTCTTGGTCAAGACCAGTCCGGGGCTGAACTCCAGGTGGGGGCCGTGGTGTGGCCCAGTGGCATGGCCCCTGAGGCCCCTCTCCCTGCCCCGCAGGCTCCATCTCGGTGAACAGCCGCAGCACGCCCTTCTTGGCCAGCGGAGAGAGCGAGATCCTGGACCTGGACAGCGAGCTGTACCTGGGTGGGCTCCCAGAGGGCGGGCGAGTGGACCTGCCCCTGCCCCCGGAGGTGTGGACGGCGGCGCTGCGGGCTGGCTACGTGGGCTGCGTGCGCGACCTCTTCATCGATGGCCGCAGTCGGGACCTCCGGGGCCTGGCCGAGGCGCAGGGCGCGGCGGGCGTGGTCCCCTTCTGCTCCCGGGAGACCCTGAAGCAGTGCGCCTCGGGCCCCTGCCGCAACGGGGGCGCCTGCCGCGAGGGGTGGAACCGCTTCATCTGCGACTGCGTCGGGACCGGCTTCCTGGGGCGCGTCTGCGAGCGAGGTGAGGCTCCCCGCGGCCAGTCTCTGGGGGCCCCCTTCGCAGGGTGACCCCTTTTCCCGCCCCTTCCCCACGCTCGCCCCCTAATGCTCACCGGGTCTTCTCTCTCCCGCCGCTGGCCTCTGCTCGCCACCCCCGGGACAGAGGCCACGGTCCTGAGCTACGACGGCTCCATGTACATGAAGATCATGCTGCCCAGCGCCATGCACACGGAGGCGGAGGACGTGTCCCTGCGCTTCATGTCCCAGCGGGCCTACGGCCTCATGATGGCCACCACCTCCCGGGAGTCCGCCGACACCCTGCGCCTCGAGCTGGACGGCGGCCAGATGAAGCTGACGGTCAACCTCGGTAACCGCCCGCCCGGGACCACCGCCCCGCGCCTCCTGCCCCAGCCGCCACCGCCCCCCTGACCCGGCCCGCGCCCTACACCCCACTGTCTGGAGAAGCTGGTGGGGCGCCCTCCGCAGTTTTGAGGGTGGAGGGGCGGTCCTGGGCAGAGCCCAGTGAGCGCTGACCCTGGAGAGGGGACGCGGCGGCGGGGGTTGCCCCCGTGCGCCGTCTGCCCGACCATGCCCTCCCGGGGCACACGCGTGGAGCCTCGGCAGCGCCCACCCACCGCGCGCGCGCACGCACACCACTTACTATGCCATTTCGATCCTTGCCCCTGCGGGTGGGAAGCCCGCGCAGAGGAGCCTGCAGCCACGCTGTCTTCCCCGCGCAGGTGCATCTCGGGGCTTGGGGTGCTGGCGCCTGTGTGCGCGGGGGGCTTATTGCGCGCGCGCATACACACACACACACACACACACACACACACACACACACTGTCTATGCGGTTTGCACCCGTGTTTGAGTCCTAGCTGAGCCGCGAAGACACCAGAAACACCCCCCCACCCCCTGCTGCCATCTACTTGCTTCCACACACAGAGACCTTGTGCACCACGGAGCATGGAATCCGTCAGCACCGTTTGTGTTGTTGGCTGTAATCTCTATGGAAGGCGACCGGCAGGCCTTTTCTCCGTGGCACTGCGGGGTGGGTTGCCACCAACCTTTTGATGAGCAGCCAAGGGCCACCCGTTTGTCATCCAGAGACCTGTGAAAATGCCACGTCGGCCCTGAAACCCACCCGTGCAGTCGGTTCAGGGCACAGCCACCTTGGGGGCAGAACAGAACTGCCCGGAGGGTTTTCCGATGGCCTATCAGGCTGCTGTGGAAGCAGTGGCCTCGACTTCCTCCCTCTGAGTGGCTGGTGGGTTGGAACCTCCCCCCTTTCAGTTAGTGGCCAAAGGTTTGACCACTGGGCCACCAAGTTAGCAACCAGAAGATGCAAATTGCCACCCCAAGATCTGGGAAAGCACTCAGCCCACTGCCACTGCATCGACTCTGACTCCTAT